AAAAACACGCGCGATTCATCCGATTGCTTGCAACGCGATTTGTATGTTATCTGTTTCAATGAATTCAATTTGATTAAAAATACGTCGCAAAACATACACAATCTCTAAAAAAAGCGTTTATGTTTAGTCGCAAGAGATACATGAATGTAGCAGCTGTCCGTTTTAGTAAATGCAACGCAATTGCCCCAAGATTGACAACACAAAACATAACAAGAAACAAACCGCGCATCGCATCGCAGAAAGAAAAACAAATTCGATTATTTCAAGCTTTAACATATGTATTCAGTGGTGACTACCTCATTACACGAAATGCCGATGCAACAGTATTTTTCAACAACTTGAGACAGTAAATAGAGCAACGAGCTCTACATGCTGGATCAACATTGTTGATTGATAAATAAGCTGGATGTTGCTCAAGATGTTCAGCGTTTAGAATGAGACATTCTTCTTCAGAATTCTGTTTAACTCATTCTTTCAGCTCTAAAAGTTGAAAATTGAACGTTGTCGACATTTTGAATACGCATTTATAAAATCAAAACACTCTTGAACTCAAGACATTTTGTCGATTCGAAGCACGTACCGAAATGGTATCAGCTTAGGAAATATCTGCGATGTTTTTGAAAACCTTTTTCAATAAAGAAAATACCTTCTTCATGAAAGAATATACTATCTTCACGCTTGAGTATGCTGGGAAGCCCATATTTTGTTGAAAATCTCAAGTTTTTCCATAGAATACAGCGTAAATTCCTCGCCGCAATACCTACGATTCAGTTAAATCGAGTTATTCAAGCCGTTGCGGTGTCTATTACCCATGTGATGTCAGAATAATCCTTGAAATACCCATTTCAACACCTACTCCATTTTACAAACCATTTAATTTCCCAAAATAGGCCCATTCATTCCAAAGACTTCTTATTTTTGGATATACACGAGAATATTCTAGTATTAGGCTTTGATGGGAAGGCGGTTCAAAAATGTGTTTTGATTCCTTTTAAGTGCCAGTCAACGCTTGAGAGAGAATATAAATACGTTGGCTATAACCCAAACATGCTACGATATCATAGTGCATATTTATCCAATTCTTGAGAAATTCGTTCGCCATGCCTCAACATAAATTCGTGTATTCACCTAGCATAATCTGCACATAACGTGTTGGCACACACACACACACACATACACACACACACACACACACACACACAAATAATTGCATTTGATTCGAACCGCAAATAAGAAATTGAGCATTTTTCATACAAAAATATGTAAAGTTGGATTAATGCCTACGAAGAGGATATTCGCAATGCAAGTTCAATTCAAATCTGAGCAGTAAAAGGAAAAAAAAAAAACATTTGTTCGCGAATGCACAAATAACTCTTTCAGAATTCAATGCAAAACTTTAAAAAGGTGGAAAAACTTCTTTTCGTATTTCGTTCGTTCACGAATTCGATGTATATCATTTAATACAATTACTCATCGGATCGACTATATTTTGAATCATCAATTTGTTTGAGGTCTGCAATTTGGAATCGCGTTGAGGGCGATTCAATATGAGATTATCCCAATCAAGTACTTAGCGCAAAGGCATTTAATTAAAGGAAACAAAGAGCTTGAGATGCAATGCTGAGATTTACAGAGAATAAAACAGCGTTTTTTTTTTCAGCCATTTAACACGCAATCGATTTTGTTGGATTTTTTCCCCTCTTAAATATTCGATTGACTTGTTAACGTTTTAAAAAAAAATGTTTTGATTACAAAAAAAAACAAAAAAACTGAGAAGTTGGTCCGAATTATCTCCAAGAAATTCAATAAAAAAAATTAAGATCAAAGCATCTTATTTAGCCGAAATTCCACGTCATGTCGTAGTTTGAGAGACTTGACGTTTCAGTTCAATCCGCCTGTTGACCGCTTTCGGTCATGTTCAAACGTTCTCTTCCTTAAACACATTGAACTGTGATCAGACTTTGAAATGTTGTGCAATATGAATTCCGACATAATTTACGGCAAAGGTGAAGGACACTGACACACGCACGCAACTCACAACACGACTCGCAGGCATAACAGCGTAAAACGAAGCAGCGTTCACGATTTTCACAAAAAAGACTGCGATTCATTGTTGTTGGGGCCGTAACGATATTGTACGATATCGTGTAGCTCCCCCTTAATAATAATTCATACCAGTTTTAAATTGAACTGAATGTAATTTGGTTGAAAATTCCTTCCCATTTGAATATAACTGGATATGTGATGCCTTTGCATGTAGCGCGCTCAGTCAGTGTGCTGCGTTGCGATTGTGGTGTGGAGGCAGTGTGAGAACAACAGATTGACTGATTATGATCGAAGCATAGACATACAGATATATTGCGGCATGGTTATATGGGTGGTATGGTCTCGAACGGATATGTGTACTGCAACGCATTCAACAAATAAGTTGTTGTTATTTTTTTTGGTTGAGAGAGGTGCGTTATGCTTTTTATTTGCCGTGCATGCACTTACAGCTCCTTTTATTTGTATAAACGAGAGCGTTTAGAGAAAATAACACACGGGATGGACAGAGAGAGAGAGAGAGAGAGAGAGAGAGAGAGAGAGAGAGCGAGAGAATCATCGGTTCATCATGAATGCAGCAAGAAATTGAACCTGTAATTTCATTCGTTCATCGTTTCAACAACGTAGGCTGTTGTTGTTATTGTTTTCTGCACGTTTCCCTTCCTTGTGTTCACACTGCATTTTGCACTCGATTTGTATTTTGTTGTTCCAAGTCGTTTGAGCGTCGGCTCTTTCTGTGGCCGAGATAAAGGTTAAACAAAAGGAGGAGAAAAAACGGTTGAAGAAGACCGTAGAAAAAAGAGCAGGCGAAATGCAACGGTCTCACGACACCAACAGCAACAAAAATCACATAATATCATTATTTATATTTTTGTACTTTGCACTGTTCCGATCAAAAAGATTGTAATTTGTGGCCGAACCGAAAAAAAAAACCAAAAACTGACTCTCTGGCGAATCGAGTCGGTTAGGCTTGGCTTTGCTTTGCTTTGCTTCGATCTCGAAACTCTGTGTGTGGATTTGCGCGAAGAGGAGAGCGCACATCGAGCAAAGCTAGCAAACTCATCGCGATATGCCGTTTTGCAACAACAAATTCACTCTCGCGCACATTGTTTGAATGCCCGCAAACAATATTTAGATAATACTAGGTCTGTCTCTCTTTCTCTGTGTGCCTTGTTTTCTTCAATTCGCGTGCACGCTCTCCACGTAAATCGGCATTGAAATCTAAAACCGGACACGAATCAAAATATTGTCTTGTGGCATATTATCGGTTCTTTGTTGGATTTTCTCGTACAATTAAAAAGGAGAACAACAACAACCAGCCACCACAAGCCAATGGAATCTGCGGCGATGCAGTTGCCGACTTAAAATACGACGAGCGAAAATATCGAAACCATTTGAAATTCCAATACCATATATACACCCATATCCATTTCGAGCCGTTGATAACACGATAATAATAGCCACACAATTTCAATGATGATAATGATGATCGCGCTCACAAATATAACGTACGACCGCTGGCACGACCAACTCTCTCAGATTAACTACAATTATGCAATAATAATCATCTGTCGGCGAAAATACGTACATTTGGACTTTGTTTTAGCGCAATCGATGCTACGCAAATATAGTGTATTCAGCGCACGGCACAATGGGCGGTGCACCATGAATTAACTCGAGTGTGTTGGAATTTGGCGGAGAAATTGTTTAAATTGAATTAGAGTCGGCACATTAAATCTGGCTCAAGTTTGGGTTTAAGGTTGAGTCGTTTGCGATTGAATACATTTGATAACAAAAAAAAACATACGAAAAAAGGAAGGAAAGTGAATTTTCCCCGCAATTTTTCGTGTTTCGAACTGAAAATCAACAAGTAAATAAGTAAACAAAAACGAATTTGTTTGTTTTTCTACTTGAAGTTGGCGAAGAAATGCAAAATTTTGTTATGCACTTCAAACGGTGGTCCTGTCAATACAAACGTGAGCCGTGGATTCTATGGAATTTGCTCCGATTAAGGAAAAGAAGAAGAAAAACAGCAACAAGGAAATCGTGCAGAAGCAATTACTTTGTTGGGAATGCCAATATCAAAGACATGGCCTAGCTGCCAGTGTACTATTGATCGCTTAAATGTGCCCGTCGAAATAGCGCATATGAGTCGATGACGAAGGCGGGCGGAACCGAACAAAACAAAGCCACAAACAAAGAATTACAGTTCATGACCAACTATTAGATAAATTTATTTGCACATTATTTATAATTCGCTCGAAACATCGATTCGTTTTGTTCTTAATTTGGCTATGGCAAAAGATAGCGGTGATGAGGGAGAAAGAAAGCGACGGCACACACACCCCGCAGACACTTAGCAATTTTTCGCATTTTAGTTTTGCAGCGAACCAAATGCAAATCATACATGTATGAAGTTGTATGAATCGAGTAGATAAAAGAATTTTCGGTCTTTCTCTCTCCGTGTGTGTGTGTGTGTGTGTGCAAAAAAGTACCATGCATATGTCTAGCTTGCGGGACGATTTAATGGATGTGAATAAGAAAAAAACGAAGCACATAGAAAACCATACCGAGAAAATGCAATTATGCAAATGAAGGTTTTGTGAAAACAAAGTGAAAAATATTCCATTTCTAAAGAGTTCGTTATCGGCGGTCGATTGTGATTTTTCGGCGACCCTTGATCTTGTATTGAGGTTATTATTCGTCAGATATGGAACCATATTATTATAAATTGAGGCATACATTTCATGTATTTCATTTGCGATATTACACGGAGCCACCGCTGTGCTCGTGACAACATGCAAAGTGCAAATATTCTCATCATGTCATATAATAGTTTTATGATTTGTTTATTTTTTTTTGCTTACTATGAATTTTGCCAGCCACACACATATCAAAATAAAAACGCGTTAATTAATTTACGTTTCTTAACATTATTTGTTTTTTCTCGATTACAGACTGTGCATAGACATGCGACGATGATATGTTGTTATTACCTGATCAAACCTATGAACAATATCAAGGTGAGAAAACCTTGACCACATCACCGTTGATTGCACTCAAACGGATTCTAGGCGATGCGAATTTTTGCCCGAAAATTCCACACTTTGACGTTGGCTTGCCAAACGGTGTGCCAAAAGGTAAAACGTCAACGACACGAAATGGGCAAAACGGCAATTTCAATGGATTTTTCGGCATCCATTTGGGCAATTCATCCGGTTCATCGAACAAAACGGGTGAACAACGCACCAAAAATGTTCAACAACCACAACGCACCGATACACCGGAAAGTTTTAAGGCGACCTGTGATTTTTTCAACAACATTCCCGAGTTCCATGGCGAACCACTCGGACCATTCAGCATACCAAAAGCACATAAAATGTCGGACGCCGATGCTGACCTACTGAAGGAATGCGAATTACTATTGAATAAATATCGAATACGACCCGACTTCTTTTGCCGCTATCGCAAAGCAATGGAGTAAGTGTTCTGAACAAAAAACGTATATAAATATCCTGAATGAAAGCTATGTGTATGCTGAATTGTATTCATTTTTAACCATGGTTCTATTTGTGTGTGTGTGTGCTTATTCGTAGTGAATCAGCCAAAATGGATAGCAAACCAACGTCGTGGCCTCGATCTCAGATCGAAAGTCATATAACCAAAACATCACGCGAGAAGCGAAAACTGCAGAGTTCATCGCCATCGTCACGAAATCATCCCGCCTCCGTGCGACACATGAAACGCTTTCAAAAATCTACCGCCATCTACACGTTGCCGATACGGGGGAAACAACAGCAACACACTGGCACACATTGCAAAACAGGTAAATGCTCACTAAAATACCAAATGCTTGTTTTTCGATATTCGATGCCGTTCACTTGGAAATGGCTCATTTTTTTCACTATTTTAATTAAAATGTAATGGTGTCATTATTATAAAAGACGCCGTGCGAGGTATTTTCACACTTGTGAGTTTGTCTAATAGTTTCCCAAACACTTTGAAAACACGGTTTTTCTTGTCGCCCGTTTTTTTCGTGCTCCACCTGAATGATAACATCTTTATATGGGGTTTTACATGTTTTCATTGCTTTTTCATGCGGATTACATGAAATCGTTTGCATTTTAGACGATGCCATTTTTTCATTTTTTCTTTCATTCGTTTAGATAAACAACAATCTTTAAGGTTTAAAGGAGGTATAATGAAAATATCATTGCAACTTTGTAGAATTGCATCGCTTTATTTAATCATAAAAAACGGTTGCGACTGGGTAAGTGGTATTTATGATGAGAAAAGTTCAACAAAAAAAAGTCTGGTTATATTCTTAACGAGGCGAATGTGAAAGGCGTAGAAAAAACTTCAGCAGAAAACAGAACCATAACATTCCAGCAATCTTCATTCCAACCGCGTGCATTGTTCGACGGAAGAGAGTGAAAGAAAAACGTATGAATCGTTTTTTTGTGCAGTCAGTTTGCCAGTTTGTCTCTGTTATCGAGCTTACTTGGGCGGAAAAAAAATGCACTTCACTCAGACACATCACAAAAAACGTGCCAATCACAAACGATGTGAAAAAAAACAACTCCAGCACAACTACTAAAATGCCGCTGAAAACAAACCGCGCCGACACTCAACCGGCTCCCGACACAAACGAATGTGCTCGAAAGCGAAACGCTGACCAAGAAAATTGATTCAGATTACTTCATTTCGATTGAACAATTACTTTCCATTTGATCTCGTCGAAATCAATTATCAATCCAACGGAGAGATACGCGCTGAATGAACGATGTTGAATGTGATTTGATTTCTTGGAATGGGTTAAGGACAATTTTTATTTCGTAACATCAGTGTTCATGATGTACAAAGTAAAGGAAGGAGAAAAATTCTGAGATTATTCTGACGTGTGGTTTTTCCGATATTTAATTTTTTATACATATATAATATCAAGAAGACATATCTTCATGTGTATCCTTCATACACTCTATAGTATGAAGTGTTTTTGAAGCATTGCTCCATTCTGCTGTTGACATGAACTCTTCTGGTCGCTTTGACACACGCACAAATATTGGGCGTTCTCCATCGAACGCAATAGATCAAATATTCAAAGCTTGAGCTTGATTCGAATCCCAAGTTCAATGAAAATGTGCAAACTTTCGACTTTCGAAACACTTCAACGTTGAATTTCTTCTGGACCAAGCTATCGCAACTTCGAAACATATATATTGCTTTCATGCGGCTGTCATCATCCGTTTCCCCTTATTCCATTCAAAATCCGTTGTATCTCTGCATCAAATTGCAATCTTAGGCCAATTTTAATGGCAACCACGATTTTCGCAGAAATCTGCATGATAATCGAACATAAAATTGTCAAAACCAAATTGTGGCCACACCTTCGAAAAAAACGGATCGTTGCCTTTTCGTTGGATTCGTTTGTTTGTTTGGTTAGTGAATTTATGATGACGTTGATACAAATTATGCACAACAATTATCTTAACATCGCTCATATTTTCTGCATGGCACTTCGTCGTTACTGCGTTTTTTATCCTCTCTTTTTTTTCTCGCTCTTTTTGCTCAGAATATGCATCATGACTGTGAAAACATTCCGCTGTGTGTATGTTGTGTGCTATCTGGCGTGCGTAACTATGTGTACGTGCGAATGTGTTTCGCCCTGGCTGCTGCATAGAATATTCCGGTCGATCGTAAACTCAAGTCTAACAGTCAAGCCGAACAGAACATAAACATTCGGTTTTTTGCAAATCGCAACACAGCAACGCAATTTGTAGTGTTTCCAATTGAATGTGTTATTCGATTTGTTGAGTGTGTGGTTTTTTTTCTAATTTTTGTTTTTCTTCTTTCACTTCTAATATTCCTCCCTCATTTTGGAATGAGCAAACGATTTGTGGAAAATTGTGATAGAGAGAGTTCGGTAATTTACAAAGTGGTGAAAGAGTTGCATTCAACGATCGAAATGAGTTGCTTTTTATTTCGTAAGAAGAATTCCGCATTGAAACTTAGTACGCACGATCATGCACCGGTGAGCAATTTGTATGTGCGTGCACACACCTCAGGTAAAATAGAGAAAGAGAAAAAAAAATGAATTTCAAACGGACACATATAAAATCATAAATTTTAGCTCTTTAGCTTACATATCTTTTTAATATTTCAGTTAAGTTGTGATTTTGATTATTAATTATGTGCTATGTCACTTTGTATTTCGATAAACAAAAGAGATGAATAGAAACATTCTCTATTTTTACATTGTGTCGAATGTTTGTTGTTGTCGTTGCTTTTGCTGCCGCTGTTGTCGTTGTTGTCGTTGTTGTTGTTGTTGTTGTTGTTGTTGTTGTTGTTGTTGTGTATGTGTCGGACTTGAGAACAAGGTGTAACTTGAATGTAGAGTGTAAGATAGTAACGGATGTACATATTATATCAAGAAGAGACCATTGCCTGCGGTGTAAAACAATGAACCCGAACGAGAGTACGTGTGCGATCAGCAGCAACTTGTGACTCTGTCACATGGCTGATCATAAACAATGTGAAGAAAACACAAGAGTGTCTTGGCCAACAGAAAAAAGACCGCGACAAATAATATAGAAAACATAATAACAACATTGCAAAAATTGAGAGAAGAGCCGCAAAAGAACACGCGAAAATGCTAACTTTTTTATGTGTGAAGCGTAAATTAAGATAAAGGTTCTCAGGAGATTAAAAAAAACTGAACTGAATCTCAACGTTTGTTCTTCTCTTGAAATTACGTGATTAAAAATATCTCGCGACACTGTTTACTTTTAGTGCTCTGAAAATTGTCGCATTATTTGTACATTGAGAGTTTTCAATGTGTGGACAGTTTTCGTGTTATGATATTTTTTTAAATTTTTCAATGGATTTTTTTATTAAAAAAATGGATTTCTTTTTTTTCCAAATTGAAACTTGTTTTTTGCATCCATTTTCGTTTTGATTTTATTTTTTCCTCTTGATACTTTATCTTAATGATTTTCGTCATTATCTCCATGCGTATGTTTTTTTTCTTCTCCGTTAAACGTCAATTGGCTGTAGCACTGAAATTTAATTACTATCAGTGGATCATCCTTGTGCAATGGAACTTCCGATCAATCGTCGTGATTCATCTCATGCATCTACATAATTTCAAGTCAATAAAAGAAAAATGGTCTCAAGAACTACGATCGAAACGGTCACTTTGGAAATTATAGCATAGAAAAGGAAAAAAAAAATGAGAGAATCATAAATTGAAACTTATTTAGACAACAACACGTATGCAGTTGGCGAGTGAGAGAAGATCTCTTTGATCACGGTGTATCGTGTGTGTGTGTTGCGATATTTGAATTTCAACGACCAATTCAAACGAAACATCGACGACCGCTTGCTCTCTCCCTCCCCCTCTCTCTCTCTCTCTCTCTCTTTCTCTCTCTCTCTCTCCTTCTTGCTTTTTAGCGCTGTGTTATTATTTTATTCTTCATCTTCAGTCCGTCGTCCACTTTCTCGTTGAAAATGTATTTTATTCACCTTTATGCGCCATGTAATCGAACACATACACACGCAGAGACCCAAGCGAATGTGTCGTGTGTAGAAAGAGTAGCGTTTTTGTTGTTATTATAGTGTTATTTATCTAGCCGTTCATTTTATCATTCTGTTTTGATGCAAGCATTCATGGAGTTGGTGCCGTGTGAGAGAGCGAGTGTACGCATGTGTGTGTGTGTGTACGAGTGAATGAGAGTTTTTGTGTGTGATTCTTGTTGCTGTTTCGTCGAGTATAAAGTGAGTTAGTTCTTGTGCCTCTCCACTACATGGCCAGTGAGAGAGAGAGATAGAGAGAGAGCACACACAAAAACTAAAGAAAACGGATTCAGGTAATAATGATACAATTGCATTGAAGCAAAAGCAGGTTCTTTTTTTATGTTACCTTTACCATCACGCTGTGTGTGTCGTGAGCAACGTTGTTGTTCAATGGATGGCGCATTCAGTTCTCTGTGAGTTCTTGACAAAGAAACACATCACTATTTATTCTCTCGTATTAAACAGCTTGTATCTCGCAGTCTTTTGTTGTTGTTGTCTGTTTGTGTGTGAATTTTTGCTTTGCTTGATTCTCAGCAAACACCAAATCGCACCAATATTTAATTCATTAGTTCAAAGTCGGTGTGTGAGAAACGAAATTCAGTTGACAATTGGTTTAAAGCGACGAAAAACATCTAGATTTGAACCAATTGCGAGGAGGAGAGCAGCAAAGAAACGAAACACGAAATATTCGAAGGAACCCATCCAAACGGGAACGGGAACACAACGAACAGAAAAAATGTTCAAATCAAACGCGGTGCATTTGAAAATCACCAAAATCATTTTTCGATTAATTTTGAATGATTTTAAAGAAATTGTGTATTCATTTTGATGGCATTTTAGTAAATGCTGAAACAACAACGGTTGATCGGTTGTTGGTGCGTCGAGTGTTGTTGCTGTTGTTGAGCAAAAGAGTTTGGTGTTTGAGCCGCGTAAACACCGCTCACAGTGCCAGATAGATACACACATAGAGATTTGTAAACCCGAGGGACTGTACTGATTATATGTATTTGATAGTTCGGCTGTACACATTTTTCCTTCATCCATCCATTCGATGCCATTACAAATACACACCAAAACGAACGACGTGAATAAACGTGCATGTGAATGGATGCGCAGCGCCAAACCTATCATCATAAATGCCATTAGATGCGCTTTATAAAGTGAAAATTTGAAGAAGAGGAAAAAAAGAAAAGAAACAAAATACAAGTGGAAGAATAACACGAATAAAAAAGGAAGAAAACGCAAAAGAGAAGAATACAAGAAGGAGAGAGAGAAAAAAACAACGAAACAAAAAGAAAAGAAATAGAAAAAAGATAAAGGAAACGAAAGAAAAGAGATTTGAATTTAATTCGAAGAATTATAGATTGTGTGTTTGTGAGACCAATTAGTGCAATTCGATGCATGCTTGAGATGGTATGGTGTGTGTGCGTGCGGCCACCATTTGCTATGTGAAAACAAATCGATTTTGATTTTGAGGCGCTCAAGAGGACAAACAATAGACAACGACGACGAAACTGAAATTCATACAGGAATTTTTCCAATTGAGAGTACGAATCACATACACGTTAATAACACGTTAGACATCGAGAACGGTGACACATCGAATTAAACGAACCTAATACGAACAAACAGAAGAAAAAAAACCGAGCCGATTCTCATTTCAATTTGATTATAAAAAGCCATGGCCGCATTAGGCATTGGCTTATCAAAGGTGTTCATTTTGGATAAATATTTTAATGAACTATCCAAATATTGGGAAACCGAGATTAAGCTACAAGGTACGTACAATGAAATAGAATCAGTTTTTTTGTTGCATTTTGATCGGCTGTATCCAGATCACGAGGATTTGAGCGATCAAAGTTGGTTTCAGCTTCGATAAACGAACGATTTTGGCAGGTAACCGAGATGTTCGATTTAACGAGGGTACTTTTATGTGGTCAGACAAATGTATAAAATATGATCGCGCGATTGATTGTGATGATTTTCAAAATTCCATTTCAAGACTTTGCTTACCTTCTTCCGTCGTCGAGACGGAGAAAAAACCTTTTCTGTTTCTTTTAATGTCGATAAAATGAAGAATCAGCATTTTCAGTTGGTAAGACGGCCTTTTTTTTCTTCGAACATCCGTTTCGGTTCGAATTACTATGACTGTCGAAAACAACAATTGAACATTGATGGCGAATGGCTCCGAATCGAAGACAAACGAACGAAAAAACGAATGGCCTATGTGCCGTCGGTGGGAAGACAGATTGGCAACTTGATACGGCTTTTGTTTTGCTTTACACACATACACGATATACACACTGCAGCAGCCATTTACACTCTCGAAAATCCTGCCATATCTGTTATTAATATACCTTGTAGTAAAAGCGTTCATAGTGTTTCACTGTAGTAGCGGTGTATCCTATTAAATTTTCTTGTAGTAATACTACAGTGGAATTTAATAGGATACTTTGCTACTACAGTGAAACACTATGAACGCGTTTACTACAAGGTATATTAATAACAGATATGGCTGATTTTTGGGAGTGTAATTAGTGTGCAAAAGTAAACAATGGAATCGTGCACACAATTTTTCGAAGCCTCAAACGCCGATTGACATTTTGGATAACGACCGAGAAAAAAAGTCTAGTAACACATAAAAACTTCATTATGATTCATGAGTGTTGCATGCAATGAGATGTGTTGCCATTTCCAATATTATTATTATGATTTTTTTTCCGTTTTCGTTCATTAATCGATATAGTCATTGAGATGAAAAGGTATTTGTTCTTTACCGAACACACACACACACACACCATTTGATATATGCTTGTGGTATAATAAATCAATGAGATTGTTGCGCTACACTACCCATTTTTAGTTATCGTTTGCTTCGAAACGTCGATCGTCTCGAAATTGAGTAAATAATAAACGGCTTTTGACTCGATTTTTGTTGTTCGTTTCTTCAAGAAGATTCAGTCTAGTCGGTCGATCGGCTTCACTAATGAAATGTTATGAGAAATAAACGAATTGAAACGAACCAGAAACCACACAAGGTTTTTAAAACACCAAAACAAAAAAAAAAATTCGTTTGAACTGAATGGGGAGCATAATTTGTAATGTGTCAGCCTTTCTAAATGGAAAAGGCAAGAGATTTTCAGGCAAAACAGCAAACACACACACACACACACACACACACACACACACACACACAAACGTACTCATAAAAATCAAAAAGCCGAGTTCGACAAAAGTCTTTTATTCTGCGGCGCAAATGAATGTCGATTGTAAATAACGTTGCTTATTGTGCAATCGATGCTGTTGTTGTTGTTGTCGTCGTCGTCGCCGCTGTTTTCGTACCCACACTTATTGATTATTACCATTCGATCGAGTCATTCTGCAATTACCTAGTTTTCTTGGGCGACTCAAAAACCCAAGTTGGTGTCTTAACCAATGAGCATTATTATATAAACACCATGCCAGCCGTGCTCGAGATAGCGAACGAACAAGAGAGCCAACACAGACTCTCACACAGAACTTTAAATCATAAAAATAAATTTTTTACAAATATTTTATGTGTGCATGCTGCGCGTACGGCGGCACACACCACAAATCCATTGCGAATAATAATATATTGTGTGCGCGCGCGTTCACCTCCATCACTCAATGACAGTTACATGCACTCGCTGAATGCTTGTGATAATTTATGACCATGTTTTGCTTTTAATGCCTTTTTTGTGCGACGACGAACGTTGAGAGCCATGCCTCGGCAGAAAAAAAAGAGTGTGAAGACTGTGTATGCGCAGGGCGCGCTCGCTCGCGCAGTGCTTCGGTTAAAATCCAATCTTTTAGAATGATTTTGTTTCGCTTGTCAAAGCGAATTTCATGTTAACTTTCCAAATTCACCAGAAAGCTGCACACACGCGCACAAGTTAATCGTCTTTTCCTTTGGTCATTTTGTTTGATTATTATTCGACATTAGGGTCTTGGCTGTGGTCGAAAGATCGAGATCAACACGATAATATCGCGAAAAACACATTATTTTTATAATTCCACCGAAAATTGAATATTTAAACGCAATCATATTTTGTATATATGATTCAAAGATTCATTACTGTAACATATACACCTGCACCTATAATTTCCGTCATCGTTTCGTGTGCCTTTGGGCATTCGTCCCCGTTCCGGCGACAACGACGACAACGACGACGGTTAGAGACATAAAAACGTGTGGTGCAAGCTATTTGCTTTTGATCATTTTATAATTAGGTTTCTATTTGCCCATGGAAATTCCTTTCTTGTGGGAACAATCGCATAGACAAACAAACAGGGCACAATTGTTTCGAAACCGATCGTTTGAATAACGTCACACATACACACACACACACACACACACACGCACGCATTTAAAGATGAAAATTACCGATTCGTGTGCTGTCGATGTCGAGCGTCAGTTGGAATGGGATGTTACGATAATTTCAAGTGTGTGTCTGTCTAATTAGAGCATACGTTCGGGTTTTGATACACGATGATAATTACATGTTGTACACGCACTACTTTGCCTGGTGCATGCTTGTGAGCCGTGCTCGAGAGTTCATTTGGCCTGTCTCTTCTTGGCCGCGCTATCTCTCTCTCTCTCTCTCTCTCTCTCTCTCTCTCTCTCTTGCCCGTTTGCTCTGTGTGTCTTCGGTTATTAATTTGGATCCAGCGATGTGTGGAATGGAATGTGTTGTGAGACCAACCAAAGCAAATCAATTGGTCCAATGGCCATTCGAAGCGCCTTTGAAAACTCGGAATTGGGCTTTATCGATTGATAAATCGATGGCACTCTATTATTCTGTCAACCGAAGCGGTTTTTACCATTTCGCCTTGGGTTTCTTTCGCCCTGTTCTCCACACACAGAGAGAAAGTCTCGGTGTTCATTTATCAAAAACCAGAACCAGAAATCTCGGCATAATTTTTGTAGGTCTTTTTGCATGTATTTTCACATGAAATTGCTCCAATCGCTCGCCACTGCTGCGATAAACAGTCATTGTTTTGTGCAAGTGCAAAGTGAAAAGCTAATGGACCACCGTGATGAAACAAGTTAAAGCAAACATAGCGAACTCAAAAAAAACGTCTTCAACAAGAACAACTGAGAAGTGTGCATGAACGTATCCCAACCAACGATGCAAATACATTTCTTCCATCTTTTTTTCTCTTTCTTTGGCTATGTCAGCCGCAACGAATGCAAAACCCAACCGATTTTTTGTTATTATGATTTCGAAATCGGTTCACTTCTGTGTTGTTGTTGCCAGTACTAAACTGGTGAATATAATCACTTGAGTTAATTCGAATGCTGACAAGAAACCAACCGCGAGATATGAGCCACGACATTGCTATGTCCGGGCTGAGATTGCCGCATTAAAAAAATGAAATTGGAAGAAGTAACAAACGAACGAATAAAAACACAACACCAAATAACGAGAGAGAACGAACGCACACTGAAAACGAAAATGAAGATAAAACATTTAACTGAAAGAAACGTAACAACAAAATCGATCTAAAACTGCCAACAACAAATACATATAAATCGAGAGCCAGCCGAGAACTTGAGAAATAGTCAAGAGAGTGCGTCGTCGCGTACATTTGCGAGGAGAATCTCACGCAGCCTAACTACACACAGATCAAGACACGCATGACGAGAAAAAAAAATATAAGCGACCGATGAAAACGAATAATAAAACAAAAATTAAAGCTATACAACGCAGCGCGAGCACACTATCGTGCGAGATCGGGCCGACAATCATCTGAACATTTAACCAAACTAAATGGAATGAAAAAGAGCGAAGGCGATTGAGCGTGCGCGCGAGCGCGTACTCACTCACAAATACATCGCGCCTAAACTAATGGGAAATCAAACTAATACTCACAAGAGCATTCTTAAAGAAGACAAAAGCACAACGAAATTTGATGGAATTGTGCAGACAAATAAAGAAGAAGAAAAATAAATCGTTTGCCGCCACATAGAACACTGCGCGCTCAGCACGAATAAAAATTGTGAAGAAAGAATGAGCAGCACAGCGTGCAACACTGAACGAAGAAGTGTAAAAGACTTACGAGAGAAAGATGAAGACAAAGCAATAACACAATATTATTATGAATAATAAGACTAATGGTAAGCCAGAAGCAGGTTTTGCTCCACAATTCGGCAAAACAGTTCGTTCACAAGAGCGAACCTAGCGGTCACAAGAACCTAGCGCATTAAAATGCAACGCAACGAAAACACAGAGATACACACACTTCAAAAAACTTAATTCACACAATCAACATGAGAAATGGACAAAAGAGCGAATGAACCGATGATGTGAAAGAAAGAAAAAACGGAAAAGAATAGCGCGTTTCAGTTCTCGTTAACGTTTTGCGGCATCAAACATTTGATCAGGCTTCGATACAAAAGTGTGCCTGTGTTCACGAATGACACAAGCAATTTATTTTCCTTTCATAATTCCAACACACACAAACGCACACAACAAAAGATGCATTATGTCTTTCTGCTTTTGCACACTGCAATTCAGCGAACTGCGGCCAAATGAGTGTTCAAATGGCGGTGAGATTTTGAAGGCGAGTGCATTTCGTGCACTCTTATGACTTGACAAGTGGTTTTTTGAATGGTGGCTGCCTGTGCGAAGGAAGACAAAAGACAGAGAAAATGAAAAGAGCGAGAAAAACGATTTTTGGAGCCACAAAAATTTCAATCCACTTCACATATAAAATAATTGGTCTCACGTAAACGAGGCGAAATTTAGTCACTAAT